TGAAAATCCCTTTTTTTTTTTTTACAAAGCATGTCACTTTGTGGAATTTCATATTAACTTCAACTACAGTTAGAAAACAAATAATTTTCTGCTCTACTTCAAAGAAAACAGTGTTTGTCATAATCAATAGTGGGATCTAAAAAAATTCAATTCCTATTCCACAACAGAAATTCCTATTCCTGCTTCATCTGCCGCAGAATTTTATTCTTGAGCTCCCATGAAATGCTATTTTCTTGATTTGTTTTTGCACACGGTGCAGTGCTTTGCATAAAAGCTAAATGCAAATGGTATGAGAGTAGATAAACAGAATGTTATGAGCTGAGAATCTGTTCGCTTCACTTCGCTCCTCTACACAATGTAACTACACAATTGAAAGAGGGACTAAGTGATTCTGTTGTTCTTTCTCTTTGGCTTTCAGCAGAAAATCCACTACAGCGCTAAAGAGCTGCTGTGCTGAAGCATGCTGCATTTTCATCAAGTTGAGGGTGACAGGGAGATCAGGCAGGCCATCCTCCAGGCTGTTTGTACCAGGTGGTAGAGCCACAGCTGGCATGTACCTCTTCCACATAAATCATTCATTCTGGAAAACACTTGTTTGCTACAGAGGGAGAGGCAGTGTAAAGTATGCGATGATGAAGTTTAGAACAACCTTGTGGTCAGTACTGTATCGTAAGATACAGATTTACCACTTAAAAGTGTATTACAGTCATCCTGCCTTTGGAAAATGAGTGTACTTAAAGGAACAGTTCATCCAAAAATAAAAATTTGCTGAAAATGTACTCACCCTCAGGTCAGTCAAGATGTAGATGAGTTTGTTTCTTCATCAGAACAGGTTTGGAGAAATTTAACATTACATCACTTGCTCACCAATGGATCATCTGCAGTGAATGGGTGCCGTCAGAATGAGATTCCAAACAGCTGATAAAAACATCACAATAATCCACAAGTAATCCACATGACTCCTGTCTATCAATAAGTGTTTTGTGAAGTGAAGAGCTGGGTCTTTGTAAGAAAAAAAATCCATAAATAGGATATTTTTTCATTTGAAACTGCTGCTTCTGGCTAAAATATTGCTTTCTCCAGTGAAAAAGTCAGTTCATCTGAATCAGGAGAGAAATATGCTCAGATCAAGGACCGTTTATAAGCGAAAGCAGTCCAAAACTGTTCTAAAAAAATATGTCTGTTGACAACAGGAATTGAACTTTTTCCACTGGAGAAGCGTTATTATAGATTATGGACTGGTATTTTGACCAGATTTGTATCTTACGAACATGCAGCTTTTAACTTCACAATACATTCATTGATGGACTGGAGTGGTGTGGATTACTTGTGGATTATTGTGATTTTTTATCAGCTGTTTTAACATTCTGACGGCACCCATTCACTGCAGAGGATCCATTGGTGAACAATTGACATAATGCTAAATTTCTCCTCATTTCATCTGAAGGTAAGTAAATTTTCAGCAATTTATTTTTCATTTTTTGGGTGAACTATTACTTTTAAGTAATATTCTGAGTTCAATAAAAGTTAAGCTCAATCAAAAGCATTGTGGCATTATGTTGAATCTCACAAAAAAGACTCATCCTTTGCTTTGTATTTTTTTAAAAAGCAAAGAGCAAAAATCGAGGTCACATCGAGGCACTTACAATGTAAGTCAATGGGGTCAATTGATTTAAAAGCAGAAATGTGAAGTTTATTATTTTATAGTGCTGGGCGGTATACCGGTTCATACCGAATACCGATGTTTATTTTTGTTACGATATGAATTTTTTAAATACTGCAATACCGGTGTATGTCGCTTAAAAAACGTTCGGAACGCGGCACTGTTTGAAAGGGGTAATATGAGCGTAGTTCATCTGTTAATATCACATGCACTTTTTTGTTTGCTGTTTTTTTTAGTTTGTTACTCGCAGGCAGTGCGCTGCATGAGACAAAAAAGTAATATAGCCAAAACAACCGCGTAGCCGCTCTTTAGTGTAGATGAGTGCGATTATAAATGAGAGTGACTCCTGGTGAACATGTATTAAAAGGGGTCGTGTTTAGTCACTATTTAGTGTGGTATTTTTTGACAATATTCACTCATCATGACAGTAAAATAGGGCATTCTAAGTCAATATACTGCAGTATTTCCTCTCTCAATCAGTAGAAAATATGGTTAACACACGGTCATGCATGAAAAAAAAATACCGTCATGTACCGTGAAACCGGTATAATTTAGAAAAATACTGTGATATAAATTTTTGGTCATACCACCCAGCACTATTATTTTATAAAAGCACTTACATTAATTCTTCTGTTAAAATGTAAGTAGTTCTTGCCATTTTTAAAGTCGTTTGGGGGTTTTAGGCATTCTGTTGTCATTATTACTTTTTAAGTAAAGATCAGAATTATTTTTGAGATAATCAACAGATGCTGTCAGTTGAGATTAAATTGTACTGAACCCACAATATTACATTAAAAATCATTGTCAAACTACAAAGATCACAGTATCTCAGATAAACCTTAACAATCCCTTCCACGCAATAAAAAAAATCATGTGTTGTAACTAAAAAATGCTCCCTAGACGCACTCTACAATCCATTCCTGAAGCCCACAGCCATTGCCAAACAGCACAACGTGTCTGAGGCTGCAGCTCGGAAATGTTTACTCAAGTAATCATCTGTAGCTGCCTCTCAGCTCAGTGAGGTTTGTTTGCGCCCTTTTGCGGTTTGAGCACTACACTGGCTGTCTGCAACCCATATCAACATACATCCAGTTAGTAACTATATGACAAAATCATCTCGCTAACAATGAAGTGTGTCTTTTATAACAAAGCACAAAAGGAGGCCATTAATAAAATTATAATAAAGACTTTTTTGAGCAATGCAAAATTTGTATTGCTTGGATATTCAGCGAAGCAGACAAATTATGCTGTGCATGCTGTTGTAGAAAATAAACCAGAAAGAGAACAGCAAATTGCTTGTGTTTTCAGTTCTGCAACAAATTAGTGCTTTCCGAAGAAGCTGAAAACGAACCTGGAATAAAGCTTGCGCAACAGTGAGAAACTACAAACGCTTTATTGTTGCATACTGTTTGGCAGATGCATTTCGGGGAAGGTGGTTTAGGCTGTTCTAATTGTAAGATGTAGAATCCACCATGCACTTTTTGAATAAATATTATAAAGATCACTCAATATATTCACAATCAACCAAATTTTAAAGTAACTGAAATGCATTAAATCATACACTCTTAAAAATAAAGGTTCCAAAATGGGATTTTAACAGCGATGCCATAGAAGAAGCATTTATGTTCCCCAAAACACCTTTCTGTAAAACTTTTTTTCTTAATGCAAAGAATATTTAAACAATCTAAAGAACCCTTTTCCACTATAAAGAACCTTTTGTGCAATGGAAAGGTTCCATGGAGATTAAAAGCTCTTGCATAGATTAAGAACTTTTCATTGTTAAGAGTTTATCAAATAAACGAATGCATAAATGATGATGGAAAAACCAGAAATGTGTGCTAAGTAGTGCTCAAAGCTCTAAACTACCTGTACAGATAGAAGCAATCAGCCACTTTTCATAATTAATGTTCAGCCAGTGCCAAGTACATTAAACAAGAGTCTCCAAAGAGAGAAGAAGAGGAGTTCGCAATCATTAATGGTCTTTGTGAATCTGCCAGATCGCAAATTGGAGGTCACACCTGCATAAAAGTGTCATTAACAATAAGGCAAGGTGCAATCAAGCTGATTCAAACAGGACAGGACAGGACAAATGTACAATTGGTATTCAGGTCATGATGATGAAACTCTATAGATTTTTTCTGTTTAGCACCTGAGTGGAAGATACTCTCCACAACGGACTGCTATTTCCCTCACCCCAGATCATGTCTGTTCACAGTGCAGACAAAAATTTACCATGGTAACCAAGGTGTCTACCAAAAAGTTACTATAGCTACTGTCACAACGACAAAACATACAGTAGTATAGCCCACTACTGTATAGTATGTCTACATACTTGCCATAAACATGTGTAATTTTGTATGTCGTTTATTTTTGTGATGACAGTGCCTGCTAATATAACATTACTACAGTATTTTGATGAAAGCTATGGTTATTAAACAGAAAATTCTGCACAAAATGACAATGCTTCTCAAAGCTTCTTACACTGCTTTAAGTATATGCCATATAGATATGTTTTATTTTTTAGTGCAATAATTGCAATACATTTGGCAGGTAACTGTGGTTACCATGATAAGTCATTGTGAAGGTGGTAATTTAGTTGCATTTACAATGAAAGGTTTTTCTATATAAATGCAACAATTTGTGCCTCTGCATCAGCAATAAAATATCATTAGTTACATAATATCATTTTTTGCTGAATTTCTGTTTCTCAGCTATATTTCATTTTCTCATAGGAAAATAATTCACGAAAGGGATATAAGATAGCATATAGTGTTTAATGGTGTGAACATACTTTTTTTTAGTCTATGAGCTCTTTGGCCTGTCTCAGGTCTTGTAGCCTATTATTGGACCAGTTTTTGTTTATTTTAATTGTTAGTTGTATTTATTTATTTGATTTTTGCACTGTTGACTGCATCAACCTCAAAATGTAACCCTGTTAACCAAGTTACTGTAAGAAAAAAAAATAAAATATGGTTTCTATTACTTTGTTTACTATTTAAGCTATTTATTATATGTTCCAAAATTATCTAGCCAGGCTGTAAAACAGATTCATTTAGGCTACACATGCAAATTTGTCCCCTATTTATTTTATAAATCCCAATTCATTCTAATGTTAATGCTTATTTAAGCACCCTTATTTAATCAACATTTGTTAACAAATACGCTTATGGTCCATTTTGTACTCTTTTTGTGGAAAGTGGCAAAAACAGCTCATTTTTGGCACACGATTTGTGCTGCATTTATGGTCTGCAGCTCTATTTCTCATAGTTTTACAGAGTAAACATCCTTTCTAACGTAACATTTGTACGCACAGTAATTAAACAGACATTCGTCTTACCTTGTATGTGCTGATTAACCACATTCTCCAGCCGATCCAGTCGCTCTATAATCCGCAGAGTTTCTCCTTTCCTGTCGCCCTCCAACTTTTTGGCTGGGACAGGCATCGGCACTTTGATGTACACATTAGCGATGTAATTAGTCACCCATCCGACGTACAAAAGACACACTATGTTGGTCATGCCACTTAGTATTACACACGTAGACACCAAAGTTTTGGTTCTCCTGGTGCAAGCCATTCCGACATCCCTCCATACAGAGTCCGAGGCACAGCGGACAAGTGCGCCTGTCCTCAACTCTGTATGTACTCCGATGGAGAATAACGCGCCTGACGCAAACACTACAGTCCGTGCTTCATTCTGTTCAGCCCTGACAGATTCCAGCGACTTGAAATGGGCAACTATCGTCTTGTTCCAACACGAAGCGCCGCGTCCTCCATCTGCAGCGGTATAGGAAGGAGAGCGAAGGTGCGCGAGTATGTGTGTGGTTTGATCCTGAGCCTGTTGACCAATGAGATGAGCTGTAATCTATGGAACCAATTGCACAATGATCCAGTAACAGTAAGGAGGTGCTTTATAACGGCAGAGACTCCCAATGTTTCATAAAAAAACGTGAAAAAAAATGTCATAAAAGCAAGCAAAATAAAGGAGTAGGCTACATTGCATTTAAAGCTATAATACGAGTAGTAGGCTACGCAGAGGAGACTGAGGAGTGTTGTAGTAGCAAAGCATGAGTTTACACCATCAATTTAACCACTTACAAATGAACAGTACCTTATCAATACCCTCCTGATCACAGAAGTTGTAAGGCTGTTTGCAAATTATATAATAACATTCATAATAACTTTAAATAAATTGTAGGTATTTTTCAGGGAGCCATTTGGTAATAAACTAATTAAAGGATTTAACAGAATACAGACAAAAAAACACAGAATACACATTTTTGTAATCGATTTGAATTATTTGCAAATATTTTTCATTTGAAATATGCACACATTCACTATGCATTCGCCTAATGTGTCGACAAAGCAAAATGGCAAATGAAAAAATGTTTATTTTCTCATCACATTCGGTTATGAGTTAGGCTACATGAATCTTACTTACATCTTACCTTGCACTCTTTCACCATTAAAGGGATAGTTTACCCAAAAATGAACCTGTATGAATTTCTCTCAGCTGTTGAACACAAAAGAAGATATTCTGAAGAATGTTGGTAACCAAACTGTTGACAGTAGCCACTGACATCCATAGTATGGATACATCAATTTTATTTGATTGGCTCTTTTAATAATTTGTAAGTGTAAAATTAAAGAAATTAGGTTTACATGCATTTACATACAACAGGCCTTTCATAAGTGCTGATATTTAACTGTATGCATCAGTCCACGTCCTCTCGGCCCATAGTTCCACAAAATCATAATGACACGGCAGATAGTTTTTTCTTCATTCCATGATATATATACAATGCCAATCTCTATGCATAACCCGACTCACAAACACTTGACACATCAATACAAACATCACCAACAAGAACAAGATCACCTAAGTATTTCTTACGCAGATCCTCATATAAAGAGCAATCATACAAAAATGCTTCTCATCTTCTATCACAGAAATATTTCATGTTAACTTACAATAACTACAGATTCTCTCTGCCACTGGTGTATTGCTCCATCTGCCTGTTTCTATAGCAAGATGATGACTTGAACATCTAAAAGGAACAATGATCGTACCAGTTGCATGTTATACATGTTATGCTTTTTCTTTTTAAATCATTGGTTAAGAATAGCTGTAAATGTTCTTAAGTCACCTACACTGGGAGGCTCACTCCCAAGCACTAGAAAAACCATAAAAATACAGCAAAACTCTAATACAAGTAACCCATGTTTTTCGACCTACTTCATCTAATTGAAAAAGCATATTATAACATTTTCTTGGATAATGATGATTAGACATAGACACTAATTTTATCCAATACATGATACATCTTTTCATATAAGAAGTGGACAATACAAATCTACCCAAATCACCCAAGACAGCTACATTGCTCACACTTGTACTGATACCAAGGAGTTTTTTTACTAATACATGCCTGAACATTTTGGTTCAAAACCCTATGTCTCACATCCATAATAAAGTATAGGTGTAACCATGCGATCAAACAAATACAAAGATTGATTGCAGCTAATTTTATGTTTACAAACAAACCTTAGCAAGGAAAGCATTACTTTCTTGCCTTTGCTTGCTAAAAGTTGTCGCCGGGTTGTCCACCATGACAATTTTGGTGTAAACCACATACCCAGATATTTGTAACAATTAACCACTTCAATCTGTTCACCAGCAAAATACCATTTTTCATCCTTATTTAGAGCGCCCCCTCTTCTAAAAACCATAATTTTAGTTTTACTCAAATTCACTCTCACACCATAAAGATTACAAAAGTTTTCCAGTTGTTCAATCTGTTTCTGCAACCCCCCAATTGTATCTGCTATATTAGCCATATCATCAGCATATAACATATGAACAGTCCGCTTGTCCATGTTTGTGTATTACAGACAGACAAGGCCCATTCACACCAAAACAAATGTTTGGTGTGAAAATTTAGTGCAATAATCATTTTCATTTGAATAAATGCCTGCAAAAGCTATTTTTATGCAAATCGCATGCAAAGATCAAAAATAATTTCCATGCCAAATATTCGTGATGGTGTCAACAGGCCTTCAGTCTGCACATTATTGGTGGGGATTTTCCAGTGAGTCTTTCTGCAAGTTACATCATTACTCCAGTAGGTGGCGACACATGTATCATGACTGAGTCACTGAATTATTCACTCTATAAATAAAATACTGATTTGTTCAGGAATGAAACAACACTGCTCAGGGATGGCATTATAATTGTTTTGAGCAAATTAAATTAGATTATAAATTCCAAACTTTGATTAAACTATACATTTTGTTGTAATTCCAAATTCCAACAAAGTTGAAAATATCCATGTTTTAGGTTGTAACAAAAGCAGTCTTCATTCTTTACATTCATTTACACAGTTTAAGAATAAGTTGTAAATGTATACTTTGTTGTAGCTGATAAGTATAGGAATAATTATATCAACATTTGAGATACACATCATAAAAAAATAAAAAAACTTTCAGATACTGAACCAAAACACAAGTTACTTATCTTAGCACTGTACACCAGAGGGACCTTGTTTTTGTGACAAACAGGATTCTGGCTCTTAGGAAGTGGGGTAGAGGAAATCGATATTTGTACAAGTCAAGCTCAACAATGCACACTTGTAAGCAACAGTATATGTAATTGTATGGATATGTAAACCAACATCAGTAGCTTCTCCTTTAGAATATGACCATATTTATGAATACAATTTGTCAAATTATTTAGATTTGAGAATGACATTTTCCACATGCTTCTAATCTTGTTTTAGTGGGATTACAGCATAATAATGTTTACGTGTGTGGCCAAAGCAAATAAGTATTTTTATGAATAGTTCAGATTCTTTGGCTAATCTTCCAGAGCACTGCTGCTAATAGCAAAAGCACTAACATGTAAGAGTAGGAGGAATAAAGACCCATTGTAAGCTTGTATTTTATATCCACCCCATGGGTATAGTCTGAGGAAACTCATAAAGAAACGATATTGATTTTATCTCATTAAATAAAGCCCATACACACATGAGCATATAATGTTTGATTCTACTGGGACAATAATAGTGGTGCTTTAAATAGCTTCAAAAGATGAGATACCAACAAAAATCATAGACAATGCTATAACATTTAACGACATTGTAAGCAACAGAAAAAACACTGGTTACAACAACTAGTACAGCTAATGTGTTGCAACTACTTATAATCTGATGTAAACAAAAAGCAAAAATCTAAATATATATAAGCCCATAGTTATAGGCTTATAGTTTCTGACAACAAATCAGTCCAAAATATTCCGGACATTTCATCAAGCAGTGCAATTTACATTAATTTATTAATGAATGAAAGTTGCATTCAAGATGGCTGCACTCAACGTTTAGACAAAATCGTTGGTTTAATACGTTTATTCAGTGCAACTGAATCACATGTCCTTGAAAGAGAGAGTGAATTGAAAAATTCTGTTATTTATAAAAAATATATATATATATGCTCATTTTAGTGTTAAATTCACAGAAAACAGAACTCGTTTCCCAACCTACTGTGAGACATATCAACAAGTTTTTTTGTGTCTGTGTGTGTGTGTGTTTAAAAAATAATTAATTAATTAAAAAAGTTATATTTTTGTATAGGGTAACTTGATCCCTAAATAGCAACATGAAGAAATGTGTCTCTCTCAGAACAAAACGTACAAAAGTTGTCACTGGGACAGTACCTTTTCAAAAAGGTACAAATATGTACAATTTAGGTACTGACATGTACCGTTAAGTTACTAATAATCACCCTTTAAGAGTAAATAAGGTACAAATGTGTACCTTTTGAAAAGGTGCTGCCCCAGTGATAACTTTTGTACTTTCTTTTTCTGAGAGTGTATGGAGAACTGATTTACATATCTCTATATATGCCATAAATTTCTAGGTACACGATAGAAACCTGCAAATCCACTTTTGTGGTGCTTCCTAAGCTGCACAGTACTACACAGAACTGCATTGCTTATACGATCAATGCTATAATCAGCAGACAACAGATGGAGCCTTTCACAGAGGACCTGCTGCGGCCCAGGATCTCGTCACTGTAAATCAATCAGTAAAATGTTATTTCCCCAGAAAAATAAAAAATAGACACTGAAACAGCTATGCTAAAAATGTGACTTTTTGTGGCTAAAACTGCCAAGAGCTTTAAAAATGATGAAGCATGTTTAATCGTGCTCACTTAAAATGCACAGCAGGACACAGTCTTAAAAACCAAACAGTCTTTTTAAAATATCTTGATAAATGTACTGTGTACTTTTAAATTGGAATCCATAGTGTATTTTCTGCACTGAACTGATCCTCAATACTATTTTTTTCAGTCTATTTATGTATGTACAGTATGTACAACAAAACAGGGTTCTCCAGAAAAGTTTATTCTTTTTTTTTAAATCTAAAATATTACTATTTAATAAATAAATAAATAAACAAACTGAAGAAAATGTAACTACTGTTTGCAAAAGTTGCCACAACAATACGATTTTTAAGTGTGGTTGCTATGGTGTTCAAGTGGTTGCTACGCTGTTAAAAGTTAGAATATGCAGTTATTAAATTGTATTATGTTTCTGAAGGTGTGCCTTTGAAATTGGCAAAGTTTTTGCAGCAAAAGGCATCAAGGACATTTAGATTTTCCATTTCATGACTCCTTTAAAGAAGTTTTTATATCTGGTTATGAATTGCTTTCCTCTGTGTAACTCAAAGTGGTCAGGTTGATTTAGTCATATAAATAACACATGTGACCTGAATAAAATCAGTTAGGTATTACCACATATACATTTTAGGTTACCTGAGAAAACGCTCAGTGTAGGTGTTTGTAAGGGCA